TCAGGACACATAGGAACCCATCAAATGTTTGCTAAGCTGATTTAACATCAACACTAAAATAAAAGAAGGTATTAAACAGCTTGGCACAAAACTCTCATCTGAGGGAAGACTGATATCAGTCAAAATAATGTGTTATTCAAACCAAATCTATCAGGACACGAACAGCGTGAGGGGCTCCACGCGAGGGTCTGCATGAGCCACAGCCTCTCCTTCAAATAGGATGCAAACCTTCAATACCGCAGTGCACGATAAAAACCACGTTCAGGAGAGGCTCTCTAGAGACTGTGGAGAAGACATCCCTGAAGATGGTCACTGAATTCAGTATTAGATGGTTACAGCTGGCTGATGGGTCCGCCAATGAAGGAGACTGCTTGTGGTGGAAGCCTGAGTGTCTTCCCAGGAAAGGGCACATTTGGAGGGAGCAAATCCAGCACAAAGCCCAAGGACACAGATGGTGGCTTGGTGCTGCTGCTGCTTAGACCGACCAGCTGAGGGCCCAGCCGAGATCCCAGGCCGCACAACAGATGGTACATTCGAGAATGGGAGTGGCAGCTTTTAGCACAGTAGCCAGCCTGTGAGAGGAAGGAAAGGGTGTAGGGCTTGGTGGCCGAGAGAAACATTCACGGAACACAGGCTAGAGCCTGGAGAAGTGGAAGGCAGAGCTGCACCATCCCTGGAAGGCTTTGGAGGAATCCAGAGCTCCCCTACTAGAAGAGTAAGGATTGCTTGCTGTTGTTACTGACACTCTAATATATATATATATATATATATATATATATATATATATATAAATATATATATTTAAATCCCAGGTTGCTTGTCCTAAATTGTGTAAGAATAGAACAAGGCACTCTTCCAGTCCTCATGAACTTGACAATTGTGTTGAGAGAGCAGTTCTGTGTTCTAGTTTTTAAGTGCTACAGAAAAACACTCTAGGCAGACAAATTGTGAAAGACTTCCCTAAAAAAGAGCATAATAGAGAAATGATATTCCCAAAGATCACATTAGATTAACCTAGCAGACATACACAGACAATACGTGCAAAGGCTAAACCAAAAACCTTGAATCGCAGTGTGATGGTGTGCACAGGCTATGATGGCACAGAGTTTGGGTGGGGACCAGGAAGACAAGCTGCTGGAGGTTAAGTGCTGCAGTGAGGGTTTTGGCTTCTTTAAAAGCCTGGGTGTGTGTGACTGTGGTAAACTGAGGTGTGGGGTACGGCTGCTGCAGTCTGTGCTCAGCTGTTAACTATGGCTGTGTCCTGCACTAGCAGGAGTGTGATCTTTGCTAGCTGCAGAGTTTAATTCTGGGGATCATGGAGAGCCCAGAGAGGGGCTGGAGCAATCCGAAGAAGGCTGCTGCTCCTCTCTGATGCTCCTGGTGCTGCGGTGGTGGTTTGAAGAAGTTGGAGACATCCTAACAATGAAGACTGGACTCGCCCCAAGGAACCCAGTGGCCCTAATCAGCAGGGAGTAGCTTAAGATGTCTATGTCCCCTTTCCCCTAAGCTTCTTTCTCATCTGCCTAGTGTTGGGGGGTTGGAAGGGATTGGGGTAGAATAGGGGTTGGAACAGAGGTAGAGGTATAAGACCCCAAATAAAATAGCCAAAAAATAGCACCTATAAAGTGCCCTTGAGGAGAGGCAAGGGAGATCTAAAAAAACAGATCCACGAGGAGGTAGCTGTCTGGCGCATGATGTCTCAAGGGTGACAACAGTCTAGAAAGGACAGTTCTTAGGGTCAGGCAGAAAGTAGAGGAAGGCCAGGGAACAGAGATGGCTTCTGAGTTAGGAGTTGCACATAGAACTCCTGAAGCCATCTGTAAATGACAGGCTGTTAAAGGTCTCAGCTTTATGGTCTCAGCCTATGGTCTCTACAGGCCATAGGCTCCCTGAAAAGGTACATTTTAAAAAGTTTATTGTAGTCATGTGTGTACATGTCGACATGGGCACGTGTGTGGGTGTCCATGGAGACCAGAAGAGGGTGTTGGATCCCCTGAGTTAGAGTTAGAGGCGGTTGTGAGCAGGTCAATGGGTTCTGGGAACCAAACTTGAGTCTTAACTGCTGAGCAATCACTCTAACACCAGGAAGAACTTTAATGGAATCACTTTCATGTAGCCCAGTGTTAACAATCAGGGAATGGACACCTGTCCAGAGCAGCAAGATCTGCGGATTTCTGCTTCTCTCTCCAGATATTTACAGCAGAAATGGTGTTGGGTGGGCTGGGGGGAGGGCTTCGGCAGGTGTGGCGAACAGTAACTAAGAAGGCAGGGAGACAGCTCTAGCCTCAGTTTCCAGTCATTAAGCAAGTAATGTATGAAATGCTCAAGGCAAGGAACAGAGGTCTACTCTCGGTTCACAAGAACAACTGATTAGAATATCACAAGGCTTTGACAGTCAGTACACTGTGCTTCCTTATGCACCTCAGGTAGGTCACTGAAGAAGCCTCACATTCATCTTGCCAGTTTGTAGAATAGAATAAAAACCCAAGTCGGGGCTAGTGTAACACGGTAGCACATCCCTAGCGTGCTCAAGGCCCTAGGTTTGAGTCCCACCATCCCACCACCATAAAGAAATAAAACAGAAAAAACATTTGGAACCTAAGATGAATGTTTTAATTGTGGGGCCTGAACATGGTAGCACAGGACTGTGGGGGAAGGGGAGAGACAGGGGCTCGGAGTCGGCTCAGCAGCTAACAGCACTTGCTCTTGCTCTGGCCAGTCCCCAGCAGCACATGGAGGCCCACATGCAACCCTACATCCAGTTCCAGAGGATGCAGCATCTCCTTCTGGCCTGCATGGACACTGCAGTACATGCACACATGTAAACTCATACACATAAAATTTAAACCTAAAAGAAAGCACCCAACCTGGGTTATTCTTTTTATGTTGTTTAGCTAATGCTATCACTTTTACAATATTTTCAGTTTAGCTGTCCAATAAAATCGTAACTGCTTTTGGCTTTCTCACATTCTACTATTTTATGTATCTTTTTGTTTGTTTTTTGCTCAGTAATGACATTTTCATCAACTTCCTTATCCACAGATTTTTTTTTTTCATTGAAAAAAATTATTGTAATTTTAAAAGCTCAAAGACACAAGAAAGTAAAAACAAAAAAATTGACTGGGTCTCTCTCTATAGCCCTGGCTGTCCTGGAACTTGTTATGTAGACCAGACTGACTTTGAACTCACAGAGAGCCTTCTGCCTCTCCCTCCTGGGTCATTTAAAAGTATTTCCTTTTAGTAATTTTCTTTTTTTTAGCGTGGCTCTACTACCCTCTCACTTAGCCAAACTTCTGAACCTTGTAAACTAGGCCTCAGGGAGAGGATTTTGGAGATGAATTCTTTGTGCCTGATTCTCCACTCTGGTCCCAGGGGAACAACCTTTTTACCTCACAGCTCTTACTCTGACACTCATTTCTAGAAAAGTCCGTTATCCCTAGCTGCCACCACTCCTCAGTTGCTATGTCTTCTATGTGTCCCTCTGAACTAAAAACGATTGCTCACGTGTGTTGTCCACATCACTCTTGCCGTGCACACTGATGTAAAGCCCTTTTTCCTCCTGTAATTTATGTCCTATTCCTGCAGTTGCATGGCTGGTTTCCCTCCAACTATTTTTACTTCCTGAGCCCTTTTCATTTGTGTACTCCTGTTGCTGTTCTTTTAATCAACTCCAGCAACGCTATGTCTTCCTGGCTCAACTAAGAAAAAGCTGGTGTTTTCTATGGCTATTACAACAAACAAACTTCAGAGAGCTGTTCTTCCTGTAAGTCCTCATGATGCTGTTCAGTAGAGGGCAGAGGATGTCTTAGGGGAGTCAGCTCTCTCCTACTGTGTGGGTCCCAGAAAGTGAGCTCAGGTCATCAGTTCTGGACCCTCTTACCCTCTTACCCACACAGGCTCTAAGTTTTCTCACTTTGCTTTTAGTTTTTGTTTGTTTCTTTCTAGACGGAGTTTCTCTGTATAGCCTTGGCTGTCCTGGAACGAACTCACAGAGGTCTGCCCCCCTGAATGCCGGGATTAAAGGCATGCACCACCATGCCCGGCTTAGTCCGGAAGCTCTCTAGGTTCCATGCTGTGTGAGCTCTCATTTGAGGATGAGAAACCATCCAGATGAAGCAGCTGCCAGCGGAGTATGTGGCCCACACAGTCCCCTGCAACACATGTGAAGACGGAATCCCTGCTGTCCACAGCGGGATGGTGGATGAACCCAACTTCAATACTAGTGCATGTCCGCCAAACTAAAATCCAACTATCGATCTTAATGAAACTCTGACCAGATTGAAGAGTAAACAAAAGTTTGGCCCAGTATGATGGCACACACCTGCAATTCCAGCACTCCGGAGGCCATGGCAAGAGAATCAAGTCTGAGCTAGCTGGCATTGCCTATGAACTTGTCCCAGGAGCTGCAGAGATGGCTTGGTTAGGGGCCCTGGCTACACTTCCCAGCACCCGTGAGGCCACTCACAGCCATCTGTAACTTCAGTTCCAGGGAATCCAACACCCTCACACAGACATATGCAGGCAAAACATCAATGCACATAAAATAAGAATAAATCATAAAACAAAAAAAGGCAAGCTGGGCACGTGGCAGGCCTGTAATCCTGGCACTCTGGGAGGCAGAGGCATGCAGACCTCTGTAAGTTCCAGGCCAGCCTGGTCTACAAAGTGAGTACCAGGACGGCCAGGGCTGCACAGAGAAACCCTTTCTAGAAAAACAAGCAAATACACACAAAAAATGCTGGGCGGTGGGTGGCACAGCTCCCACAGATGTTCCCACAGGGGCACACAAACAGACGCAAAGTAAATATAAGGGAAAATTTAAAAACACATTTGGCAAAAGGTTTATACAGTGCATACTCATCACACACACACACTTTTTTCAAAATTCAGGTTTGAACATCCATTGTGAGTGATAAGCATGAGGAGCTGATGACACCCTCAGCAGAAGCTAAAGCTCGTGGTGTTCTCAGTGTCTGAACTCAGTGTTGGGACACTGTTACCTCAGGAGTGGATCCTTTAATCCACCTAGAGCTTCACCTTCATTCCAGATGAGATCAGCAGGGCTTTTGCTTGGTTTTGTTGTTGTTTCAGTTTTGTTGAGACAGAGCTTCTCTGTGTGACAGCCCTGGCAGTCCTGAAACTTGAAAAAATGATTTGATGCACTTTATTGTGTAAAAAGCCAACCTGAACAGGTTATATACTAGTCTAACAGCATGAGACCTAAAGAGCAAAAATGTGGTGGCAGTCAAGAGACAACAGATAAAGTGTGTGAGAGGGAAGAGGAAGGAATCAGGGGCCAGGTGGAGATGCAGCTTCACAGAGGGTAACTGCCACGAAGCTGCAGGCTGACAGACAGACGGAGGCTGAATCTGTGAGAATGCAGAGTAACAGAGACTCTTCAGTGTGCTCACTTTAGCTGTAAATCTTAAACTCCTGCCCAAAAAATAAAACTTTTTTTTTTTTTTAATTTGAAGAGACAGGGGCTAGGGCGATGACAAGCCCTCACTGCTCCTTCAGACAACTAGAGTTCAACTCCAGCACCCACGTCCAAGCTCACAGCTCTGTACAGCCAGCTCCATGGCACCCAGCACTCTCTCCTGACCTCCCTGGGCACCTGCACACACACAGCAGATGCACGGACATAAACAAAATTAAAGAGAAAAAAAAGCTCAGGACTGGAGGGCTGTCTTGGCACTTACGAGCACTTGCTGCTCTTGCGGAGGACTTCTGGAAGGTGTCCCCCCAGAACCCACACGTGACTCACAACCATCTGTAACTCCAGTTATAGGGATCCAGCACCCTCTTCTGGCCGCCATGGACACCGCACACACATGCATCTATATACATCCAGGCAAAAATAAATAAATCTGTAAAATTAAAGTGTTCACACAACTCAGCAAAACAAAAATAAAACAAAGTAAAATGACAGGAATAATAAAGACAGAAACTAATATAACAGAAAACAACTTAAAATATACAGGTGTCATCCCAAGAATTGTGTGTAGAGCCAGAAGGATTAGGAGTTCAAGGCCATCCATGGCCACACAGTGAGCTGGAATCAGACTTAGGACAGGGGAGGGACCAAAAATAAAGATCAACAAAACCAATATTTTGTTCCTTTAAAAATTCCAACGACAAATAATTTTCTTCTTCTTGTTTTAAGAAAGATTTTATTGTATATACAGTGTTCTGCCTGCATGTGAGCCTGCATGCCAGAAAAGGGCCTCAGATCTCACTATAGATGGTTGTGAGCCATCATGTAGGTGCTAGGAATTGAACCCAGGACCTCTGGAAGACCAGCCAGTGCTCTTAACTGTTGAGCCATCTCTCCAGCCCCCACAAATAATCTATATCTAAAACGCTGTGAATTTCTTCACCTAGAAACTCTGGAGACAGGCATGGTCAGCACACCTTTCTGTTGCTGGGATAAAACACCATGCTCCAAGCAACTGACACAAAGAAGGTTTTATCTGGGCTTATGGGTGCACAGGGAGAAGAGACCATCATGGCGTGGAGGATGGCAGCAGGTGGCTGGCACAGGGGCAGGAGCAGGAGGCTGAAAGATCACGCCTTAGCCACAAGCAGGAAACAGGAAGTGGACTGGAAATAGGCAAGGCTATATTCTCACAGATGGCACAGTGACGAACTTCCTCCAGCAAGGCTACACCTCCCTAAACTGTATCCCAACTGGGGATCACATGTTCAAATGCCTAAACCTCAGGGGACGTTTCCATACAAGCTCCCAGAGTGAGCAATACACAAAGCTATAGAAAGTAAAGTGCTGAGAACAGCCCAGAAACCTGGCAATGAGGAGCGTTCATAAGCTCAGCATGCTTAAATGCAGTGAGCAGAACAGACTTTCAAGTGGAAAAGGTCCTGGGTAGAGTAACAATGATGTTGACATTATGTATCTTCAGAAGCTAGATTTTATTTGTTTTTACCTTTTCACAGTATGCTACACATAAATGCTCACAATATTTCCTTAATTAATTAAATTGGATAAAAAAGAAATAATTAGAATAATAATCCAGAATGTACAGAACTTTAGATGTTTGACAACACTGAGAATAAAGATGTAAGATTGCTAAATAAATAAATAAATGAATGAGCATAGTTTGGTAAAACTGGCATTTTAAAATTAATCTACATATGAATGTGGCAGCTTTGAAAGAAATATGAGGCCCGAGAGAATCTCAAGGAAGCTGCCGCAGCAACCCAGACCTTGCCTGGATTGGAATGTACCAGATGCAATAAAGGCAAAGACTGGATTTCCAAGGCATCGCTGAAGTCAAACTACTAAGATTTGCAAATAAATGGACATGGACGTTAGAAGCAAAGGATGTTAAAGACATCTGAAGTAAGCTGGACGATGCTGGTGCACACCTCTAATCCCAGCACTCGGGAGACAGAGGCAGGGGGATCTCTGTGAGTTCAAGGCCAGCCTGGTCTACAGGTCTTGGTCTTCCAGGACAGCCAGGGCTACACAGAGAAACCCTGTCTCAAAAAGAAAAAGATATTTGAAATATTTATTTGAAATGAAGATAATGAATAAGGTCAGTGGTAGAACAGACTGGTATTTTGTAGATACATAAACTGATCTATACCTACAGTGTAAGAACTTCAGGTATGTTAGGCCAGGCCTAGTGCCCCCAGTGTCAGCACTCAGAAGGCCAAGAAAGGACTGTAACCAGTATGAGGCCACCTGGTTACACAGTGAGTTCAAGGTCAGCCTGCTGCCTCCCTACCCTACCCACAAAAGCAAAAAGGAAAAGAATTTCAAGTATTTTATTCCAACACAAAAGTTTTAGTTCTAAGATAAATTTTCTTAGACAAAACACGTTAACTGAGATGTTATGAACATATGAATTAATTCACATTAAGTTCCTATGTGTTTTCTTATTTCCAAAAATGTCAGAAAATAGGTTATTTTTGAAATATATACTATAATGTGCCAGCTCATCATAATGTAAATTTTTAAACTTTGCATGTTTTTAATTTTATGTGTATGGGTGTTTTGCATAAATGTATGTCTACATGTCTGGTACCTGCAGAGGCCAGAGGAGGGCATCAGATTCCCTAAAGCTACAATGACAGAGATTGTTGAGTGCTGAACCCAGGTCCCGTGAAGAGCAGCTCTGTTCTCGACCATTTCTCCAACCCCTTAACTGTATGTTTTAGGCTCATAATCATCTGTGTGCATGTGCCCTGCACATATGCAGTGCCTGTAGAGACCAGAAGACAAGTCAGATCCCCTGCAGCTGCAGCTTCAGGTGGTTGGGAGTCACGATGCAGGTGGGGGCTGAACCCTGGTCCTCAGGGGCAGCACAAGTGATCTTCACTGCCGAGCCGCGCTTCAGTTCCAACTGCTCCTTAACAACAGTTTACAACAAAAGGCTAAGCTAATACGGCAGCTTAAATTTGTACTCTCAGCACAGGGAAAACCCAGGTTAAAGCAGGGGGATTACCCTAAATTTGAGGCCACCCTGAGCCACATACAAGTTCCAGACCAGCCAGAGAAACAGTGTGAGAATTTATCTCAAGAAACAAAAACCATAATTAAACCTCAGAAACTCTAAAACAATAAATCTGGCAATGTTTACCTTAAATACAGAGCAGAAGTTTTTACTTCGTATAAACGTATATGCATAGTTCAAACTCATTTCCAGAATCAGCATAGCGCTAAGGCTTCTCGCCTCCTCTTTCCTCGTGGCCCCCCTCCTCAGAGTGTCTTGAGACACAGGTGGCATAGAGCAAAGGAGTATTCTGCATTCCTCTTCTTCCCACCAAACCATGCTTACACCACAAAATTAAACACTCATCTCTAGGGAAACCATTTGCCAAGAGAGTTTCTGACAAAAATAAAAGCTGGCCCTTGTCCAGCCTGCTATACATGGACAGCGGCGCTCTGGCAGATGGAGGCCGGGCTGCGGTTACCTAGCAGTGTCAGGATGAAGGGTATCAGGGCAGAGCGTCTCATGCCCAAAGGCTTCTGACGATGAACCTGCTCTGCCTGACTTCCTACACTCACCATAATGAGGACTGTTTACTGAAGAGATGGTGGACTGTGCCCTGTCACTGCATGTTACTGACAATAAAGTGAAGCCAGCATAAGTACAGGTTTGCCCCAAATCACACAGATGCCTGGAGTCAGGACAGGATGCAGGTCTTGAGAGGCAGCTCAATAATTGTCTAACCTCCCTATTGAGCAGGCCTGCCTCCCGGATTTTTTTTTTTAAGTCGCTCTATGGACTTGGGCTGAGGTTCTGGTGGCATGGCTAGCTGCACAACATGGTAAACGTGGTGAATATAGCACCCACTACGGGGTCTCCCTCGAGAAAACGGTGAACAAAGTTGAAATCAGCCAGCACTTGTTCCACCTGTGGCAGACCAAGATCGAGCCATCATCTGGCCACGTGGTTCCACAACGGAAAACAGCTGGTGTGGCACAGTCTGCAGGTCAGTCAAGCAGCCCTGGAGGGACTGAACCATCGGCAAGAGCACTGGCATCTGCAACAAATGAGCTAATTTATGTAACCAAAAAGGAAACGACAGCATAACTCCCAGCAATTGGAGAGGTAGAGATCTCTGTGAGTTCCAGGCCAGCCTGGTCTACAAAGCAAATCCAGGACAGCCAAGGCTACACAGAGACACCCTGTCTCAAAAAAAAGAACAAAAAACCCAAAGAAACAAATTTCACTGTAGTCATTTCAAAAACTTGAATCATAGACACACCTATTTAATATTCAATATAACTTTTACTTTTGCAAGATTTGCACATAGCAGGTTTCTGTTTGGTTTGGTTTTTGTTTCAGTTTATTTAAGGTATAACTTCACTCAAGCTAGCCTGGGGTTCACTATGTAGCCCTGGCTGAATTTGAACTTGTGGCAATCCTCCTGTCTCAGCTTCTCCAGTACTGGGATTACAGTGTGAAACACCATGCCTGGCTTATACTAGTTTTATTTTATTTAGTGATGATTGTGTGTACGTTTGTGCATAACGTGTGTGTCTGGAAGCGCTGCC